CAGCCGTTGCGCCTCCTCCTGAATCTGCTCCTGCTGTCTCCTCAGCCTTTCCATCTTCCATTCCTTCATGGAGACATGATCCACTCTGACTTTGATCGCTGCCTCCTCTTCCCTCTGGACCTTCTCCTTGAGCCTCTGGTAGCTGATCATTCTGAGTTTGTTGCGCTCCTTAACCCGCTGAGCTTTGCTCCTCAGCAGCAACGAGGCGTTCATAGAGGCTCTCTCCATGCGACGCTGGCTCAGTTGAACCAGGAGCTGTTTGTGTGTGAGCTGCTGGATGTTTTGCAGTTTGGCCCTCAGCTGTGCTCTCTGAATCTGCTCCTCCTCTTGAACAGCTCGCTCCTGCAGCTCCCTGAGATGTTCCTCCACAGCCTGGGCTCGATTTTCAGAAGACCGTTGGAACTTTTTTTCCAGTGTGCTCCTCATCTGTGCCTCCTCTTCCTCCACCTGTTGCTCCACCTGCTTTTTCAGTAGGATGTGTCGCAACAGCTCCCTGCGATTCTCCTCTTGCAGCCTTTTTTTCTCCTTCTTCTCCTGCAACACTTTGCTCCTAAATGCCCTCTGCTCCTTCTCCACTGCGATCTGTTGCTCCTTCTTCAGCTCCCTTTTTTCTAACTCCTCTTTCTCTCTCATAAACGTCTCTCTCAAGCATTTGCGCTTTTCTGTCTCTTTTGCTGCAAACTCCAACTTTTCTCGACGTTGTGCCTCTACCTTCTCCTTCAGCCTCCTCCAGCGTTCATCTTGAAGCAGCACCACCTGTTCAAGATGGCCTGCCTTCTCTTTCTCCCGATGCTGCATCCTCCTCTTGCGGGCCTCCAGTTCCTTATGCCAACGTTTCATACTCTGCTTAAGTCTTCTTCTTCTATCTTTATCTGCTTGGACCTTCTGGGTCTCCTCCTCCCTTCGGACCTCCTGCTGCTTTAGTTTCTCCTGCTGTGAGAGCTTCAGGCGATCCTGCTCCTCTTGATGCTTGACCAGCATGAGAGCTGCTATCTTACGATCCCTCTCTGATACTGTGACGCATGTCTTCCTTTTGATTTCAGCTGTGAGCCTTTGCAGCTGCTTTTCCGTGGCAGGTGAGTATGTCAGGTTTCCCAGGTGGAAGCTGCTGATTGTGCTCCTTTCTGGGTCTCTCGTGTCAGAAGCAGAGCAGTTGGACCTGCAAGACTGTTTCCCTTCAGTGCACAGATCGGCATATAGAATAGGCTCTGATGTCTGTTTGTCTGACATTTTTGTTTTAGGCAAAACTTCCAAGCTTGAAGCTGCATTACTCACAGACCTCCTGCTGCCAGACACTGAGACATTCTTCTCCTTCTCCTTATGGCACATTTGTAGAACCTTTGATTTTTCTTTCCTGTAGGATTCATGCATAACCCTCATGGCCTCGAAAGGCATGTCATGCTGCTCTGTAATCAGGTTGTTCAGCGATTTAATTAGAAGCTGAACCGGTTTTATCCCGAGTTGATGGCAGGACTCCGGCAAGCTTGGACTTGCTAAAATGCAATGGCTCTTCTCTGCTCCCACTGACTCAAAATTGTTCAGGTCTGCACAGAAAAAAGGGGACTTCGCCTCCCCCATCTTAAAAGTTCTGACACCTTGACAATATGCTCACATAGGACTGGATTCTACTGATCCGCTCACCTCTACACAGCCTGTCCAGCACGGAGATGAGGTCAGCAGGGGATTACCGTGTCTCCACCTCAGTAGTAACAGGAATAGAGGCTTATGTGTTTTCTGTTGACATAGCAAAGCTGATTTTAGTTAGCAAATTAAATAATGTGTGTGTTAGATTTGTGCTTTCTGCTATATTGGACTTTAGAATAAAATAGACTAGAATAGAATAGAATTCCTTTTATTGTCACTATACACATGTGTCTCAGTTAAAAGGCAAATTTAATGTCACAGTGACTTATAGAGACTCAGCTTATTTATCCCAAATTATGATGCTAATTTAGTTTACGTAAACATTTCTTTAAAATTGATAGAAGTGACACTTAAAAATCTGAGCAGAGACGTTTTGAGTAGGACCTGGCTGCAGACCTTGGACGTTTTTGGTTACCATAACAACACTGCGGCAAACAAAGATTTTTATAAAGAGGAGCACCCGCATTAAGTTGGTGCTGTCAATTTTTGTATTAGCGCCATCTACTGGCAGCGTTTGCCACAACAAGCCACTGTCATTTCTCAGACAGGTTTAATGTTTATATTCAGATAAACATTTCTTCTGGCTCTACCTGTGTATCTACCTCACATAAAACTAATAGAATAATTTTAGATTTATGTTTTGAATTTTTAGATTCTCTGTGTCATATATTTTTAATTTTATTTTTTAAAATAATCCTTTGATGATCTGCTTTTATTTTGACGGGTTGTGATTTGTCACACAACTTCCTGTCTGCACGCGAGAACTCTGGTTTGGATGTATTCTTTGGTTTTAATGCTTGTGTCTTTGCTTATGTAACCTGTTTTATTTTTTTTTTATGCGTTGCACTTAAATAAAACCAAAAAAGTGCTTCTTCGAGGCGACAATTAACCTCAAACGCTTTTATCGGTGCGACTTTCCAACTCACTTAGCTAACTTTCGTTTAGCACGTCGCGAGGACAAGAATAAACTACAGTCTAACGTTCGCCACGGATAACTCAAGGTAGTGAAATTGTGTCTTTATATTTTTCTGAAGTTCTTAAGAGAACTACGTGTTTACTTTTCCATACAATCGGACGCTTGAGTCGACCAACACTGCCTTTATTTGTTTGAAGTTGACTTTTTAAAAGTAATAATTCCCCTAACTGTTGATTTGCGACTTTTGTAGCACGCATCTAGTTTCGGCAAAGGCTGAAGATGAGGAGGTCTAAAGCTGGCGGAAACGTGGAGACTCGTCGGCAGAACGGCTCCTCTAATCAGTTAGCTGATCATCGTGAGGGGGAAGACGCTAACGGTGACTCCAGCTCGGCTGCTCAGCAAGACGACGAGGATGAAATTAACAAACAGGGCCAGAGGAGAGAGATAAGGAGCAAGTACCGAGACCTCATCAACTCAGTACAACGTGAGTGGATACCCGGACAGCTTTTACCTGATGTTAGTCCTCCCAACACGTCATAAATCCATCTACTCCTTGACTTTTCTCCTTCAGAAAACAGGGAAGATATGCTGAGTCCATCTAACAACAAGCTCACAGAAGTTTTGGAAGAGGCCAACAAACTTTTTAAAGATGGTAGGTGTGATGCAAGTAATTTGTTAGCAGATTACTTCTAATGTTACAATTCTGTATCCTTATTTAAGTCATTTATCCTGATGCAGCCACTCAGAATGATGAGGTTGATTTGTGTGACAGTTCGACAGCCGAGGGAAGCAGCGCTCGATGCCAAGCTCCTTGTCGCAGCCACAGACCTGGGAAAAGAGAAAGCCAGCCAGCTGTTTTCTGAGGGGAGCACGTTTGATCCTACTGTATTTACTGAGCACCTTGTAAGTGTGTTTACTGTACTATGCACAGCTATAATCACATATCTACACTGTATTTTTCTGAGTTCGTGCAATCAGAAGTCCTGCACTGGTTGCATAAGTTAGTGTTGCCACCTTTTAAAAGTAAAAATAATTTGTTTATATCAGGGAGCAGATTCTGGGTCGGTTAGCAGCGCTGCAAAAACCTCAGTTTTGACGATCACGTGGTCGTGCAATTTGAATTAGCAGTTTTATTTTGAAAATGACAGATGGTTTACCCGAACTGCTACACAAACAACCAAAAGAAGTGTTGAAAGTACCTTTTCATCTCAAACAGCTGTCCTTCATGGGTCTGAACCGACTTGAAGATGAGGAGGATGATCATCAGAATGAAGGTGAGGGCTATCTGCCCAAAGACGCTTGGCACAGACTGGCCCAGAGAACAGAGAGCTGCTTTAAGACCGCACCTTCTTTCCACTACATGTGAGTACCAAACAATGCTACGTACCAGCTATAGCTCGTATTTAAACGGGACAAATGAAGACAAGATACACATACATCTGAAATCCAAATTTCTACAGTTGTTTTTGTTAAGTCTTATTTTGGTTGTCTTCAACAGGATGGGATCCTTCCATGCAGAACCACCTCCTCCAAAGCAGAGAACAGAGCGGCAAAGAAGAGCTCCCAATAAGGAAGCCAAAAGAATGATGCCCACTCAGGTAACTAAACTTGTTATATTTCTGTTACAAACCTGTCTGTGCAAAAGGTTATAGGTAGGAGTATTATCCCTTAAGAAAACAGAAGCCTTAAAGGTGTGATTCACCGAAAAACCAACCACACAGCAGGACTCTTAACAGGCTTGTGTTGCTTGTAGAGATAAAACATCAACGTTGGAAAGCAAACAGAGTCAGTGGTAGAGTTGTGTTGCTGTTTTCAGTTCTGAGGTGAGATGTCCAAATATCAAGAAATAAGACTCCAAATCGTCTGAAGCTACTTTCCTCTACAGTTTACTTGTACTTTCTGATACAGGCCCATCTGAACTCTTCTCAGTATCACAACTTTAAAGAGCAAGTCACCCCCTACCAGAGTATTACTCCACTCCCACTAGGGCTGGGCGATATGACGATTTTAGACCGTTTTACGATCTACACATCTGACGGTCTGTCATTTTTGAGAGACCTTTAAATCACGATTCACAGCTCTGCTGTTGAAATTCTGCCTCTGAATGAAAAGGGAACTTACCTCAGGCAAATGACACGCCTTTGTTTGACCCTTAATCAATCAGAGTGAGTCATAGTAATATATTAGTGCCCCACTTGTTTTCACCTGTGTGTGAACAAACATGGCTTCGGCCGTGGCTGAGAGCGACAACGAGGTTTTCGTTCCAAAGAGGAACGCCTCGTCCATTATATGGAACTGGTTTGGTTTTTCACTAGGGCCGGGACGACGCGTCGACGTAATCGATTACGTCGACACGTAAAATACGTAGACGCAAATAATTTGCGTCGATGCGTCATCACGTTCAAAAACAAACATGGCAGCAGCGAGTAGTGGCAACGTGAGCGGGGCAGTCGACTTAAATCACTCAACCCGAACTCGCAGTTCAAAAGTATGGGACTATTTTAACAGAAAAGGAAGCGATTCAGTCGTTTGCCGGCTGTGTAAAGTGGAAATGGCCTATCATATAAGCACGACGGCTATGCACCGGCACCTCAAACAAAGGCATCCAGGAGCAGCTTCTGCAAACAAAAAAACACCGTAAGTTTTCAACTTTTTTTTTTCTACTAACGCTGTTTTATAACATCCAAACACCACCACGTAGCCATGCACTAACTCACACACACAAGCAGGCCCACTCTCACACAAAGATAAACACTCAACCCCTGGAACTCACTAACCCTCATTTAAGCTGCTTAGTAGTAACATACAGCAGCAGCTGTTATCTGTTTTGTTTGTTTTTATTCGTGGCTCATGATGGCCAAATGAGTAGGAATGCGCACGTGCTGATTATGAGAATCGGCGAGAGCTGAAAATGTGAGCGAGCACTAATTGTCCGCAGTAAAAATGTTAACAAAGACAATGTAGCACCTGCTAAATGTAGCCGTCGTGGACATTATTACAATATTGTTGAAGTGCTTGCAAAAGCAAAATGACAACGGACTCTTGATTGTCAAGTTTAATGCCTCATCCTGTTCGAACGTTATTTTTTATACATCATGCTCCTCCAGCTTGTTGATCTTATAGATCTAAGTTGCACCATCTAATGACTACAAAAATGTGCAGCATTTTGTGTTAAAAACCTCTTTTTTAACAAATCTTATCGATTAAATATTTTGATTAAACACTAAAATACAGATCTTCAAATTATTATTTTGATATTATGCTTTCTACATAAATATTTTTGTAATAATTTTAATTTATCTGTGTGTTGTTTGTGTGATTTATGTTTTCAGGAACAAACAGAAAAGTCTGGAGGACTACTGTCGGAAAAGAACGCCCTGCACCCCCCAGGAGGTGGCTGTACTTACTTAGAGCGTCCTATCTATGATTCTGAAAGACATGAGACCACTTGCTGTGGTTGAGGGTGAAGGATTCAAAGAAATGCTGACCACTTTTCAACCAGGTTACACTCTGCCTTCTAGGCGCCATTTTACAAGCATGATGGAGAGAAAGTATCAAACTTCAGTTGAGAAACTAAGGAACGAACTAAAAAAGGCCTCGTCCAAAATCTCCTTTACCACTGATGCTTGGACAAGTGTAGTCACAGAGTCCTACTTAGGTTACTTATGTTAGATTTTGTTTGTTAAAAGACGCCATTGTTGCTATTTATATATTTTTTTGTTATAAATTTTCCTTGATTTATATGAATCGTTTGCACAACATTTAATTTTTTGTGAAATGTTATCTCTAACATAAGATTGTACTACTATTACAACAACTTTATTTTTGAATTTTTGTTATTAAAATGTGTTCAAATGAAGAAATTTGCATTTATTTCATTGAGATACATAAATTAGTAATAATCAAACTGCTATACAAGTCAAATAATTGGGAAATAATCAATAATTTAATCTAATCAAATTAACAAATTAATCGTTAGATTAATCGATGCATCGAAAAAATAATCGCTAGATTAATCGATTACAAAAATAATCGTTTTGCCCAGCCCTATTTTTCACCAGATGACAATGAGCAGCGAAACGTCATTTGCAAAGTTTGCAAGGAGAGCATCAAGGCAAGTGATGGCAACACCACAAACTTGTTAAATCACTTGAAAAGAAGCCATCCCAAACAATACAATGAGAGCCAGCTGGCAGCTAAAGCTAAAAAGCCTGCGGCTGCAGCGGCTAGTGCTTCTTCCAGGCAGCAAACGCTAACAAACACTCACAAAACTCACTCCTTACGACAGAGACAGCAGACGATGGAACAGCGTGACAGATGCAGTGACGTACCACTTGGTTAAATATTTGTGTCCCGTGCGAACAGTAGGAGCGGGATTTAAGAACATGATAATAACATTGGATCCGCGCTACGAGTTTTCCAGCCGCAAGTATTTTTCGAACACCGCCATTCCACGCATCTACGCTGAATGCAAAGTGAGCATTGCAGAAAATATTCAGAATGCGCAGTTATTTGCTACCACAAGCGATCTCTGGTCCAGCCGCACATCAGAGCCGTATTTGAGCTTAACTATCCACTACATGAGCAACTGGGAGCTACATAGTATTTTGAACAAGTTAATGTTTGCACAATACGTTTGCAATTGACATGTTTGCACTTTAAATATGTTTACGATTTTAATTTATGTTAAGTTACTTGAAAAACGAGAAAAACTGATTTTTGTAGTTGTTTCTCTCAGGGCTTTTATCATCTCTGGCGTGAGTTTAAAATATGTGTGTTAGCACTGTGTTGATTATCCCTAATATGAATAAATGTTTATTTATTCAATGTTTCTCTTCTTTAATACACAATTGAAGTTATGTGTTTCATGGATAAAAAATCGTGATAAAATCGAAATCGTGATAAAATGTTGGAAAAGTCGTGATATTCTATTTTTGCCATATCGCCCAACTCCCACTTCCTGTTTGAAAAATGCAGCAAATGCTGTTGCCTAGCAGATCGAGAGGGCGGAGCCGCCAGCAAATACACACACACACACAGGCTCACAATGACATTGTGACATCATATGGTACCAGCTAACGTTCTAGGGTACCTCTTAGCCAATAGCGATGGCAGATTTAAATTCAAATGTAGTGTAGAGTTTTTACCTGACAACGGCACAACACTGACAGTTTTAGGCAGAAAATTTAAGTTTTAACTAAAATGCACTGAAGTGCTAAACTATTGACTACACGTGTCTGCAGCACGATTAGACACGCATTTATACAGTTTATCAGGAAAAAAAGTTGATTTGGGGGTGACTTGCTCTTTAAGCCCCTCTCCACCCTTCTGTGATTACAACCCGGATGCAACCCGTTTCGTTCATGAACGCGCATCTATAGTAAGCCAACAGAGCTAAAACACTTAGTTTTAGGATTATTTTCACGTTATGCTGTTTATTCACACACGCCCACACACACGCTCACACACACACGCATATATATGTGAAATTGTTGTGTGTTCCTCTGTTTAGGTACGTACTCTAACGCTTGTGCACGCCCTGTGATTGACATCTGTATCTAAGCAGGTGTCGTTATTGGCTAATGCTAAGCAGCGCTCAATTCAAATTACATTGGGGTCTATGGGAGGGGAGGCGGTCTTAGTGGCAGAATTTATTTCCAAATTTACACATTTTCCTAAACTTTCATTAGATGTTTATTGTCAGACTTAAAAACTGCATCATATTTTCTGTCAGTTAAAGAAAATGGAAGAATCCCATCAAGAAGCAACAGAGAAAGAAGTGGAACGAATCCTTGGATACCTGAAGCGTTACTACCAAGATGATTGTAAGAATAAAACCAGCTTCACTGATATTGTTTTTGTTCAGGCTGTTTAGATCGGTTTTAGTGGGACCTGAGTGGTTCAGCCACTGCTGGACGGCTTCTTATTCACTCATGATATCATGATCTATCCTCATGTCTCTCAGGACACGGGCTTGAACTAAATAATTGAACCATTTACATGTTTCAGATTTGTCTGACTTTTTAACCGTGGATGATTTTTTTACAAACAGTGTTCAGAATGGTTGCATGTCCTTGTGTAGTGGTTCATTTGTCTTTTTGCATCATAGCCTCATCACCAATATCGTACTACGAGTTCGTCATCGATCCCAAATCGTTTTCCCGGACAGTTGAGAACATTTTCCACACGTCTTTTCTAATCAGGGTGAGAGGTGTTGTTTTTTGTTTGTTTTACTTTACGTACTGCCTCCTAGTGGCTGTAAACAGGTTTGACAACTCTTGTTTGTTACAGGACGGTTTGGCCCGGATGTATCTGGACGATGACGAGTTGCCTTGTATACGTAAGAACATTTTGTTGCATCAGGGTGATTGCAGCAATACAAACGAGTCGTTTGGAGGTGAAATTATTTTCCTGGTGTTTATTTAATGTCTCAGAGCCTGTGGAGGAGGGGGAGATAGAAGATGCAAGCACTTCCACACGAAATCAGTGCATCGTTTCTATCAGCCCGAAGATATGGAGGGTGAGTGAGAATTGATAGTAGAAGAAAACATATAAATGAATCAGATTTGTGATTGATTTGTTTCTAATTTCTTATGTTTGTTCATCTCTAGGAGCTCATAGATGCGTTTGAGATCAAGGAGACAATAATTCCACCTCCAGAGACACAGAATGACTGATGCTGCTTTTGTGTTTTTTAAAGTTTTCTTCTGGATTTTCTGTCATATTCAAAGACTTTTTATATTTGACCAAGTTTTTTTTTAAAAAAAAGCAGTCTGCTCTGATTTTATCCTCTGTGATTATTTCTTACATTTTCCATGTGGAATATTTTTCTTCACATTTAAATACAACGTGTCTTAAACCGGCTCTCCCACAAAAGTGAGCTCAAATATCACCACAAGGTTACTGTGTTTTTATCCCGTTAGTCAGGCTTAGCCTCTTGGAAATGTTCTGCACTTTCTTTACACAAGTTGTGTTCTGTAAAGTAAAGTAATTGTTTTGTATTTATGCTTTTGCTTATTAAACACCCCAAATTCTTCATTTCTTTGTTTTCTGCAGCATGTTTTGGTTCGATCTAGTGATCACACTGATATTGTTGTACACTCATCTCATCGCGACAATCATCCTAGTAGTCCTGTTGGGGTTTTAAAGAGACAGACACTCTCACGTTTCCTCTCATCCCTCCCTCTTCAGGATTTTTTTTCCCTCCAAAACAGAGCTTCAGTCTGCTCCCCTGAGCAGTGATGTGACGCTCAGCTGGTGCTCAGGCTGCAGAGGGTGACTCCTTTTCTTTCACCCATTTCTTTAGTGTGGGTTTATGTAACAATGGCTTGATGGTGCACTTCTCTGGAAGACCATAGGCGTTGCAGTGCAGTAGTCACTTAGGCACACACTCATGCAGACACACAGAGGCGTTGCACACTAGCTTCTGCAGCGATCTGCTTGCTTTGGCAATGCTGAGTCTGCCTGCTGATAACGATGCAGTTCTGCAGGAAGGTGCTGTGCCAGCCGTGTAGCGCCAGGGTTACTTCACCAGAGGAGGATATGGAATACAAGATGGGGAGCTGCATCAGAATCTCACGCAAACAGGTAAACCGAGTGGAGGTGCTGTTTGTGCCGTTGCTTCAGCGGAGAGGGAGTGGATTTGAGGGTCAGGAGCAGAGCCTTTCCTCAGGGAGACGGGAAAACATATTCTTGTGTTGGAGGAGGGTCAATGTGAGGAATGAAAAGGAGCTGCAAGAGACTGAGCAGGAGGTGAGGATGGGAGGAGCTGGAATAAAAGTGAAAGGGGTGGAGGAGGAGGATGGTAGGCTGATGAATCTCCCATAGCTGTGTTTGTGTCTGCATGGGTGATCGGAGTTCCCGGCTGGATGAAATGGGAAGTCTGGAATGTTAGAAAAACAGAGCTGATCAAATTAGTGCTATTTATAGAGATGCTGCTCAGTCTGACGTGGCCTTTAAAAGCGGCAAAGAAAAGAAACCATCTGTCATGATCAGCTGATGCTTTCCCATCTGTGGGCTTTTTGCATCCACGTAACGCCAAAAACAATCCATAATCAGTCTGAAAACGACCACCCTCCACTCATAAGTGTGTGTTTACACCTATAAACAGATATGGCTTCCCCTGCTTGGTCCCCTCCCCTCATCCCTGTCTGCCCCTGTCCAGCGTTCTGAGCTAAAATAGCAGCAGAGACACCGGGGCTCCTCTGGAGACGGGACACAAGCACCGGTCTGACAGTAAACACACTTCGGAGAACTTTAGGGCTGGAGGAGGAAACTAAATGAGGAAGAGTCTCTGTGTTCTTGCAGTGGTGAGTAGTTTGTTGGTGAATTCAAAAATTTTAATTTGAATATAATTTAGATTTTTGCCAGTTCTTATAGAGAAAGTAGAGCCCGTACAGGAAATGCAAGGGAATCGTTCAAATTCTGATTTTATGAAATACTTTTGGTTTGAGTCATGTAAAATGTTTCATAGGATTTCTCCTAAATTGAGCATACATTTTTCATTTTAATAAGCTTTTTCAGATTTTTCACATTCCTGGATCATAACGACATTTAGTTTGAAGGGTTATTTTTTATATATTGGCCTCTTTTTTTTTGTGCTGTCTGAGGTCGGACACAGGGCGGGAAATGCTAAACTCAGCTGTGTCACAGCAAAGACATTTGGCATTCATCCAAACCCAAGAGCTGAAAAGATGACCCATGTGAAAATGAGGTGACAACCGACCTGGCATCAGTATAATCATGTGATTGCCCCTCGGTGTGCTGCCAGAGAGCCCGGAGGTGTCAGTGGAGGTGCACACAAGTTGGTAAAGGGGTTGAAATTACACCCCATTCACACAAATAGCCATCAGAGCAGGCAAGGCAGCAACAACAAGGAATACATGAGATTTAAGAAGTGAGGAGGAGTTGGAGAAGAATACAGTTTTGGCAGAGAGGTCACACATGAGCAGCTGGGTCTTCTGGAAGTGAATTTAATTGTGCATGTCTGGAAAATTAGTGAATCTGATAAGTTTCTATTTATAAAGATATCCAGGTCAGTGCTCTCTGACTCAACAGCGAAAAATCCCTGCAGTCATGCAGGAAACGCACAAACATCTGCAGCCTGAGTTCACTGCTCAGCTGCAACAAACATCCTAGTGGGGCAATTATAAGAATTTAACATGATTATAAAAGCAGCAAATTCTGTATTTATTCTCAGGTTACTGATCATTTTCTATTCCAAACTATTGCTTGTGTTGGATTAGATTTGCTTCTTTACCAAGACAACGCTGAGCAACGCTGCTGGAAGCCAAGACGATCTGTTCTTTACCTCATGAAGATTAGTTTACAGGATTGACCTGCTCCAGTCACCGTGTCAGTGTGCTGCAGTCACACCAAAAGCACTGCAAAGATGCTCTGATTCTCTGAGATGGAGCTAAATGATCAGAAACGTGCTGCATCAGGACACAAATTCAGTATTCAGCTGAATTATTTCCCATGCTCGCACGGTCCCTCTGTTAGGAAGTGCACTGTTCTCCTTAAAATCCTGCACTTTAGTCCTGGAGGAGGGTTTTGCATCAGAGATTTTTAATCTCTCAAACAGCTACTCCATGCTGGTCCAGCCTCTTTCTGAGGGCCCCTAATCCTGCAGAGACAGAAATCTGTGACTACTGGAGGACCGTTGATGCCCCGCTCACTCTGTAGGACAGGAGGAGGCTGATGATCTTTTTGTCGCTGTAGTGTCTCCCAGGCAGCTGATGTGAGAGGCTGATGGTCTGGGCAGTTGTGGCCCTGCAGCTGGCCGAGCCATGGGCAACGAGAGCAGCACCACTGAGGCGTTGGTAAGGGCAACACGGCTGAAAGACGTAATGGAAACTAACAAAACTGACTTCTAGTCTTGCTTTTACTAACTTCCAGCTGCAGAAATGCACAAAATAACCAAACAGCAGGACGTTAGGTCAAAATTATGTCATTCTTAGTGTTTTTTAAGGGGTTAATTTACATCTAATTAATGGACCATAAGACACGAGATTCCATAATGAATATGGAATCAATCTTGTGGACCTTTGGGTTATTTTAACCAGAAGATTGGAACTTTTTTATTGCAGGGATTATGTAACACTTGTATTTACTGAGAGACAAGAGAAGAGAGAGTCACCTATAAAATGTTTAAGAAGATTTATTTCTAAACAATTTTAAATAAGACTAACTCTGACTCTAAGTGATGAATGGATCTGGTGCGAATGAGACGTGAGATGAATGGTGTATGTGTGAGTGATGTTGTTATCAGAACTGTCGAATTCGGAGAAGCAAGTTTGAGGTGTTGTGATGTTTTGCTCTTAAGCTATGATCGGAGTTATGATCAGAGTTTCATAAACACATTAGACGCCATATTGTTGCTCCACACATACCCTTAGGATGAGACCTCCGTACAGATTCAGACTGCCAGGTCCTCGAACCCCCCTTTCGGTACTGGAGCCGATGAAACAGCGTCAGCAATTCGACAGACTAGTCTTTGGATTGTCTCCAGGTAAAAAGCGACAGTTGGTTGACATCGTCAGATGGACCCCCTTTGGGTCAGTGAGTTCAGCTTTTATTCTGAAAGGAACCGTTGCTTGGTTGGAAAAATGCAACAGATTTTATCCAGCTTGTTGGTTCTTTGCTTAAAAAGGAAGTCCGGGTGGCCGGTCCGAATCCGATACTCCTCTTAGCATGCGGTGAACTGCAGAGAGCTCCAGAGAACTCAGAGAGCTGAACTAAGATGGCATGGGAACTGGTTTTATTAATCTGGATGTTTTGATTTCTGGTCGAATCAAAGTTGGACAGATTTATAAACACCACAGAGACTATGCCACGCTTCAGAAAGGAAGGTTCTAATTGGATCAGTGAAAGCATTGTGTCATGCGTTTACATTACGTGTAGTCAAGATGTCTAGTGCAGCTAGATTAAAGTCATATTACTTAATAAAGCATACTAATCATAACATTTTCATTTCACAGATTGGTCAACATCTTATTATTGACTAACACTTTGTTTGATTAGCTTTATTAAAAATAGAGTTCTTTGATTTATTAAAAGGAAAGAGTCCTTTATCTTCATTCTTCTCTTGGGCTGGAAAGAAAGCTTAGAAGCAAATGCATGACCTTGAGGCAGTCTCATGCAGATTAGTTCTGTGTCAGAGGCATCTGAGGAGAGAGGGTAAATAACCTTTGATGGAATAGCTCCTCCATCACGTTACAGTTTTAACAACCAAACGTGATGTTTTATGTCAGGAAAATTAAAAATGTGTCATGTTTATTCATACACACCATTTTTCTTCATTGTTTTTGTGAAACTTTCTATATTTTTAGAAGTCTGATTTAAATTTGCATTAAAAGCTTTGAAGAAAATTCCCAAATGTTCCAAGAGGACTCCAGCACTGGAATTCAGATTAACCCTAATAGGATTAAAATAATCATTTGTCTCATGACCTCTTTAACCCGTGCACGGTTGAGTAGATTTTCGTGTGATCACACAGATGGATAATTTCATTCTGTTTATAAGAAAATCGTTTAAAAAACCTGCTTCTATTGAGTTTTACCTTTAATTTTTGTTGAATAATTTAATTCATTTCAGCCAGAAGAGGGCGCTCCAGAAAACGTGGTTCTGTTTCCTCCTGAGGAAAAAGAAAATGAGTCTTTGCAGGTACAATATTTGTGAATGAGTGAGTGTGAGATTTTTTTCTTTGTATTAGTGCAGTTTTAATGCAATTGGTTAAAAATTTCTTTCACTGTTAAAAGTTAAACTTATGCAACATTTTCTAGTCTATTAAAATAATACTAATATGAATGTATTATAATTATTTTATAATTATTAAATACTGTTATATATAATTTTGTATTCATTAATTTTTATTATTTTTTACTATAAATTATTATTAATATTTCAATGCTCACAGTAACTTTTGACCATTTAAATTCTCTCTAGCTACAACTTCGTTAAACCATCACGAGCAACAACTTCACTCACTAACTTAGTTTTCAGTTTCTGAAACACCTCTGCTAACCATCAGCATATCTTAGCTTTGGCACTCAGCGCTCAGTGTCTGCACTGCATCTTTGCAGAAAAATCCAACTTCTGAGTCTAGTTTCTATTTACGGTATAAACATCTAAAAGCTTCTACTTGGGTGTTTCTGTGCTTTACTGGGTGGTGTACACTAAAGCTGAGTTCTATATGACAGTTGTTGGTTTTTAAAATGGTAAAGAAAACTGAGGAAAGAAAAGGAGGAGTTCTTTTTCTTGCTTTGGCCTCAAAATGCAAGAACATTTGTTATTGCTTCTTTTGTAAATGAAAGAACTTGGTTAAAAATTGTAGAGGGAAGAGAAAATAAAAGGATCAGCCTTAAAAAAAGGACATTAAAAATCTTTTATTTTTTTGCATTTATGGTTTCCAAGAAATGCTCTAAAAGTTGTTTTTCCAACGCAGGACCGTTTCCCTCTCATTTGCTGTGCTTTTATGGAGATCATGTGTTTTTGTTTTATGTGGATGAAAATATCATCCGTTCTCTCACTGAGGAAAATAAAACCCCACGAGGATGACAAAGCTACTGAAATCAGCCGTAGTACTAAACCGTATAAGTTGGTGGCATTTATACTTCAGGTGAGGTAGCTGTTTGGCTCTGCAGGTGTGCTGCAGCGAGCTGAAAGATTCTAGCTGACGTTTCCATAAACATAACAGCTTTTTTCCTACTTGGCTGCATAGTTTTCATAAATTTGCAATGATTTGTGTTTTTAAAAATCACAAGACAAAAAGTTTTCTTACTTTTTGCAAGTAAACAAACCAGATTGATGTGCGCCAACATGGCCACAACAAACCTGCTTGTGATGATTACTGTGTTTAGAGGTCAGAGTTCAGGAAAGATGCAGCGAGGCTTGTTTATGAGCCCACATGCATAACCTGATCCTCTCTCAGGAGGGGGAGGCACTTCGGGGAACCTTGGCCTAGTTCCCAGCATTCACCTGCAGGAGCATTATCAGTCAGTCAGCTGCCAGAAGCTACAGCAGAGGAGAGAGAATGGGAGCAGTAGGAGGAGCAGGAGGCCTGGGGCGGATCTGGATATGGAAGGATGGATTCAAAATAGGAGGGGGGGGGGGGGGGGGGGGGGGGTTACAGTAGAAAGAGCACTTCCCTGTGGGTAGTGTAGTCAGGTCAGTTATTCTGTTTGTCAGTGCATGCCAGAGTTCTTACACACACGCACACACACACCAATAAACAGAGGAGGCTCATGGAAATCTAACAGGGGAGTGGCAGTGACAGAAGAGAGGAGGAGGAAGGGAGCTGAGCCAGTGCAGGAGAGAAGCGAGAGCGTCAGCAGCATGTGTTGTAGCCATCGACATTAGGGCTGCAGCATGTTTTTGCCCCGTTGTCTGCCCCCCCCCCCCCCACTCCACCAAAACACACAGTCCTGCAGAGGCTGAGTGTACAGTGAGAATGAGAGCATGAGAGGAACTGCACGGAGTCACCTTCAGCTGGGTAAGTGCAACACGGATGGGGTAAAAGTGGCAGCTTGTGTAACAACAGGAGGGAGATGTCGGCTTTAACTCCAGCGTGATCCCATGTTAACAACAGTCATGTGTGAAGAACAAAGTTCTCAGCATGTGACATGTTGAGTTAGCACAGAGGACATCTGGCTATAGGAGGCGTTTCTAGGCAACCACAGATCTCTTTCTGCTTTCTTCCTGTGTGTTAATTAACAACTGTGATCGTCCGCCTCACTGCTTTCCCACATATGGTGACCCTGCTGTTGACCTTTAGAGAACCAGTAGGAAGTGGATTGCTGTAAACTTGGATTTGGACATTCTGGGGTTAAAATGAAGGTTTGCTGCTCTTTGCATCGTGTGTTCACTTTTTCCATTCCAACTTCAGCAGCAACGTGAGAGATTCCCAGCAGGAAACATAAAGACGTCTCACATGACGTAACTGTGCTCGTCTTTGCATGCGTGACCGTGAAAGTGCAGAAGCTCAGTTACTAGTTAAATCAAAACGATTTTATAGTCAAATTCTTTCAGCAGCTCCTTTTGCTTTACTTTCTTTTATTCGTTTTATGTTTTTTATGCCTCATACACATGTGAAGTTTATTTTTAACAGCAAAGCAGGAAGAATCAGGAATAAAGTGTCTAAAAATAACTTTATATGGTGCACTTCCTCTTTTTTTGTTTTTTTTTTTGTGGATTAAGCAGCTTTTCTTTGCACACAACATCTGTACTGGAAGTGTTAGACAGGTAAAGCTTGAGCTACTCTGTAATGAAGAAGTTAGAATAAAGGGGATAATGTTTTAAATTGTGGGTTATTATTTGACTGCAGGAGGTGTTTATTTTAGATTTGCGCATTTTTCTAAAACCCTGCTTGTCAAAGTTTAAATATTGATGCACAAAATGAATGAAAACACGTTTTATTTACTGAGCAGCTCGTGTGGGTGGGAGACGTTCCTCTGGTTGTTGCTGCAACGTGATGCCACTGCCAAGTGTTGTTGTGAGTGTAACTATGCTTAGACCACAGACAGACAAGAATCTGGATTAAATAAGCTGGCAGAGGTCAAAGGTTACTTTAACTCGGGATGTGGCAAAATAAAACTTGCAGTCTAAACTGTCATAGATAATGATCTTATCTAAGGTCTGATTACAACGTGCCATCTTGTAGGACCGGTTTGTCTTTCCTGTGTTTCTTGCTCACTTGTTTTTTATAAACACGCTGCAAAACAAGAAACAAGGTTGACTTCCTTATAAGGTAAATAAAAAGCCGGGAATAACGTTTGCACCTAACTTTATAGATTATTTTGAAATTATTTTAGTCTGTACTAAATCATGACAGAAACTTTAAAGTTTTTATTCAATGTTCTTTTAAATATATCTGCTGTGGGTTATGAAATCTTTTCTGTGGAAAAAAGCTCTTGTGCTTCTGTTTCAGGAGGTAGAAGTTAGTCAGAGGAGTGGAGGGAAGCAAAAAAAAAGAGTCTTAGTCATTAATACTCATGATATGCAAACGTCTCGCCTCGTGACTCTTCCGCTGCCTTCATTCGCTCTTCTTTCTTGGGTAAAAAAAATGCAGCGTTAATGTTTTATCTCCACTAATAACACAGGTCTGAATGTGTTCTGCCATTTTGTGGAGTTGCTAATGCTAATGGTTAGCGTCTACTAGCCATTCGTCCTCCCATGGGCAGTCCTAATCCAAGGTGGGTGGAGCCATGAACACAAATTTTCTCTGTGATCTACGTAGTAGAAGCGCACCTTTTCTGACCCGATTATTTTCCCATACATTTCCTTTCTGCAGCGAATGTCAGCGATGGGGGTTGGAGAACATTTTCCTGTTCAACATGCATGTGCAACTCAGCATGACATCATGTTGCAAAAAGGACAATATTACAGTTTTTCAGTGAAAGAGATCTCTGAAATGATCAAGATTGAACAAACTGTCAAATATTGGGTTGATACATACTAATTTACCACCATAGTCTGAACAAAACAGAAAATAGATGATCTGATATCTTAATCTGAAAACCAAGAAAAAATATGGATTTTGAAAAGTAACTGAACAGTTTTAGTATATTACATTACTGAATCAGCACACATTATCAAAACAAATCAATTTAGAAATCATAAAATTATTTTACCCATTGTGGATTGCCTCCTGGGCTGCACAGTGGTGCAGTGGTTAGAGCCTTGCAGCAAGGAGGTCCTGGGTTCACATTGTGGCCTCGAGTCTCTCTGCACAAAGTTCGCATGTTCAATCTGTGCACGCGTGGTTTCTCTCCGGGTACTCTGGCTTCCTCCTACAGTCCAAAAACATGACTGTCAGGTCAATTGGTCTTTCTAAATTGTGCTTAGTTGTGAGAGTGTGTGTGCATGATTGTTTGTCCTGTGTGTCTCTGTGTTGCCCTGTGATGGACCTCGCCTGGTTTCCCGGAGACCACTGGAGATAGGCTCCAGCCCTATCGCGACCCTGCATGGATAAGCGGGTAAAAAAATGAATGGATGTATGAATTGCTTCCAGCCAACTTGAAAGAACAACATTTTTTTAAAATTGCATTGTGTACAAACTTAAATTTTTAACTTTTACAAACCTAGTTTTGCTTATTGCATGTTTATTTCAGCAGAAATATTGATAAATTCCTTCTGCACTTGCACTCTGATGCACTGGAACAACTCCATTTCTACTGGTGAGGTTTACACCAATGTATGTAATTCCTAAAAGATAGTATTGCAATGAAATTTTACAAATGTTTAGGGATTGTAGGTCTTTTAAAATAAAAACAAAAAAACTTTGGTTTCAGATGACTTCAGACTAGCCTTTAGCTCATCAATCCTACAGTATGCAATGTAAATATGATATATATATATGGTATAAACTAAAATATCTATAACTTTACGCAAAAACATACTTAAAATGACCCGTTAAGGTAAACAAAAACATTCTTAACAACCTTTTTAATAGAAAGTAAGTTTTTTTGTCTGAAATTGAGACAGTTTAGAAATATTTTTAGCTGAGTGAAATGAAGTTTCAGAGCCTCCTGCTTTAGTTCTCGGTTTTGTCTTTCTCAAGTTCAGGCCAGAGTCAATATGACACACCCAGGTCCCACCAGATAATAATCAGACAACAATCCGCTGGCGTTATCCTGCGTGTCAAAAGGCCGGTGGCAGACAGGAAGCTGAACATCAGCTGATGTTAGGTGGCAATAACTGAACCGTGTGAGGCGGAGGGGCTTTCTTCGGTTTACGTAAGGTTTTACCCCACGGGCGGAGTCGTCTGCTTGTGTGTTGTCTTTGAGCATCAGTCTGGGTGTTCTTTTGTTTGCCTGCAACATGCTCCCGCTTGTTTAAGCACACGTGTGTCACAACGTCCTAACATCACACCTAACCTGTCCTGCAGATCGAAGCTCACGCTGACAGTCTGAGTGGAGTGGAGAACAAGGCCCTCCTGACTGAAGCCTCCACCCGTCAACCCAACCTGCTGTCCCAACCAGTGCTCCCAGACGTCCCAGTTGTCTCTGGAGTGGAGGAAAGCCCAGGATCAGCTACAGACCATGAGGACAAGGAGGAGCTGGAGTTTCCTCATGACCTGCTTCCAAGTTTGGATTTCAGCAGCGAGCTCAAAAACTGGGAGTTCTCTCTAGGGTATGTAGAACCCACACACACACGCACGCACGCACGCACACGTGTTTCCACCTACTGTAAGACTCCACTCATACACACACATATATTTTCACAATTTCAGATACTTTACCTTCTTAAATAATTTTTTTTTATAATGTAGGGGTCAGTTAGTGTTTGTTTCACACAGGGTCAGGTTGGTTTGAATATGTTTTTCTATAATAAATAAAATGTTTACTTGTGTTATGTTCAGCTTTGTTTGGCTGTAAAAAAACCAGGATATCTGCAAATACTGTTCCACCGTACCTTTACAGTTTTTACTTGGAACCTCCAAGGGTTAGATAAATGGGTAAAAAATCCCTTAAGTAAAAGTGGAAGTATCCAAGTATTAAAGTAGAAGTGTTAAAGTTAGCATTTTCAAATGTACTTAAAAGTAAAAAAGTAAAAGTTTTTAACTATTATTTAAATATTTCAATTGTGTGTGTTTAGGTGGGCTGTCGGACCAGGTTAAAGGGGAAAACACAAGTTAGAGTACTATTACCTTTGGAGCTGCAGTCCGGCGTAGACAAGGGCGTGTGCTGCATCGGGCCGGTGGTGGGGGTGGGGGTTGGGCGAAATGCAAATTAAAGTACTTTTACTTTTGAACGTTTTTAGAAAATGTACTTGAGTAAACAGTACAGATTATTGATTTAAAATGTGGTGGAGTAAAAGTAAAAAGTAGGCTAAAAATTGCTTAACAGGCAGAAACATTTTACTTAAGTACAGTAACAAAGTTCTTATACTACACTGATCACTGGTGTATTTATCCTCAGATCCCACACCATCTTTTATAGGTTCAACCAAAATGATCATGCTGATCTCATTAGCTCTGGTTCTCCATTTCTGCTGAGAAACATTTTTGGAAAGTAAAAAATTAAAACCTGATGAGTTTTTTCTCAGGAGTCGCTTTCTCTTTGGTTTGCCAGATACTCAATCAAACCTCAACCACATGAACCCAAATTCCTCCGCATTGGTTCCTATAACTCATCTGCAGAGTGTATGAGCTGCAAACACTCAACTCTGTAGTTACTTCTACACAATTAGAGCAGGAATGTGTAAATGCATGTGAATTTGTTTATTATGGGATGCATATGCAGCAGTTCTTTGGGAGAGAAGAGACATGAACATGATCCTGATTTGTCCGGTGTGTGTCAGCAGAGCTCCTAGTAGCTCAGGCAGGAGGAAATGTGAGCCAGTGAACCCCCTGCTGGTCGGCTTACAGCATCACATGGAAGTCAGTCAGCCTCTGGTGCTTCTGGGCCACAGGTACCACACCATCCAGCACAGCTCCTGTTATGTGAATGTGCTCAGCAGACAGAGAACGAGCTTTCTAATTCGTGCTCGAGTGTGACGCTGGCTGAAACTCTCGTGGATTGATGTGTGTGTTTATTTCTTCATGTTTAATTATGTGAAAGTAATTTCTAGTTCTGCCCCAAGTGTCGTCTGGCATCCTGCTTTTGTTTGCATACTGATGGCGTAACATCATTCAACCAACAAAAAATGACAAATTAGGAGGATGAAGTTCCAGCTTTAAACAGCAGAACTTATCAATCTGAAAATCCACCACAGCAAGGGACCTCTGCTTTGTCCCTTTTTCCAGACAGAAGCAGGAATCGGCTAGTTCTTGGCAGCTGCAAACACTTTCCTTTATTTGCAGCTCCGCCCTTTAGAGCAAGGAGCCAAGTGAAGAAACAGGTCTGAAGTTGTGTTTACATGGAATGCAATCACAATTGACAGCTGTGCTGAATAACAATTATCTTGTAAAGGACACAATGGGATTTTCACACAGATGAAACCAACCTAAGCCTTAGAAGCTAAGTTCACTGAGAAAAAGTTTTTTAGTTGTTATTTTTAAAATATGATTGGCCACTCTGAGTTTAACATGCAGGCTAAATGCGAAAACAGTTTTCTACCCCTATTTCCTGCATTAGCCGCTGATAGAAAAAGATGGGGAAGCAGTCAGAAAAATGAGTCAGATCTACGTCACACTGTCAAATTAGCATTCATGGACTCACCCATTCAATTTCAATTCAATTCCAGTTTGTTTCTATTGACCCTTTGCACTAGCCTGGCAAGCCATGAAATAAATGTATTATTTAGTTATTTAGTTATAAATATATAATTTAACTATATATTATTTAGATTAAATAAATGTATTATTTAGTCTGGCCATGCTCCATTGACGGCTCTCGGTTGTGGGGCGGGTTCTACTGTTGTCTTTGAAATGATCTCCGCATTCCACTGGACAATGAATGTGACATACTCTTGTTTCAATCTGTTGCATCATCTCACCCACCAGGCATATAGAGTGCCCTGATTGGCCCACAAAGCGGATAAAGCTCTGTGTTTTGTTCACTAAGCAGATAGAGCACTATGAATGGCCCACCATTATGGACCAATCACAGCTCTTTATGTGTTTGAAACCCCTCTAGAGAGCTGTGATTGGCTAGCTAGAGTTCTGGTAGGAGCTGCGGAGGTTCCAATGGAGCATGCCTAGACCAAACTTTGCAAAGCAAGAATTTGGTCTAGTTCACTAGGCTACCTTTGCACGTGATGTCACGCCACTCATGTGACCGCCCCCTTCGTCATGATGGACGGCAAAAAGACCATTTACACCTGTAGAAACTCCAGTGAAGCTAGTCAAAACAAGCCAGTTTGTAGCCTTTTATCGCTTTTATTTAGTTGATTTGACAGTAAAATGGTTTTAGCTTGCTGTGTGGTTGGCTGCACTAAGAGACAAGGACGTAAACTCCACTCGTTTTTTCTTTTTAATGACTTTGATGGAGACTGAGGACGGAGATGAACTGCAGCGATCAATCAAGCGGACTAGCAGGCCTCAGATTTGCAGCGAACGTGTTACCGGGCAAGATTAACGTTAATTTATTTCAGAGGAAGACAGGGACAGGGATAAATGTTATGTGTTTGTTTATTCTAGTTATTGGTAATCCTGATGGACGGGTATTTCCACTGTAGTGTAAAGCGAGACGATTATTAACAATATTAAAGCTCCGATGTATGGTTATGTGTGTTAAAATTACGTTATTTATTTATATGAGCGTCACCGTTCAGAGATCTTCTCATTCTGGTGTGAGAGCAGCAGCTGAACCCGGTAACACCACCAGCAACAGAAGCTGGTAGGGATCCGGACTTTTAAAAATCAGCTTTGCTGTAAAGTGAAACGCTGTTTATAACATAATGTTATGAATCCAGAGGGGTGAATTTAGGCAAAGTCAGCAACATGTTTACATCGGTGAACAGCTGCAGAGAGAATGTAAGCTAACGTTGGTAAGCTAGTTAACATACCGCTCTCTATGAGCCCCCGCTAGATGCGCTACTTCTTCTGATAACTGAACTGGGCATGAATAGTTGAAGGAATGCTGGAGGAGTTCTGTTTTTGTTTTGATCGCAAAAAATATTTCAGGCTCTACTTTTCCCTTTGTTATCGTGTCGCTCACATGCTTTTGCCGTCCACCATGGTGGACCCACGTGATTAGGTGACGTCAGTGCAAAGGGTCAATAGTGCCAAATCAAGACAAGAGTCGTGTCAAGGCACTTCACAAAGTAAAGTTCAGTTCTTTAGGCCAATCAGTAAACAAGTTTTGTTTATAAGGAACCCAGCAAATTGCATCTTGGCTCGCGACGGGGAAGGCCGTTGTTTATTTAGTGTCTAGGAGAGAGCTGAGCAAATCTGGCCTTGTAGAAGCTAACTGTTAGCATTAGCGATTTCATAACATGGCAGAACTCCTCCCGGCTTGTGTTATTGAGATGTAGCAAAGCAAACGGAATCAGAGGTATATTTAGGACCATTTTCAGGCACAGGTACAAAATGATGAATACCACACAATGCATAAATTAGTTCCTACACATGGTGTACACTCAGATCTGTGCGTACGTAGGGTTGATGAATGAATCTCGTGGAATTAGCTTTTTCCAAAGATCTTAAAGTCACGAATAACTGTTGCAACATGAACATCAGAGCAGAGGAAGAAAAATAGCACAAAACAATGAACCAGCTCAGGAAGATGAAGCTACAGGTTCAAAGGAATTTCACAAAAAACTAGGCTTTTATTATCTATTTAAAAAAAAACATTTTTATCTTTGCAGAGTAATTTAGACCAATCTTTACCTCATCTACCACTGACTGAAGCACAGAGAGATTTCTAATGAAATAACACAATCACAAACCAGTAACCTACAGCAGCACTTTTATCTTGGGAGGTGCTAAATGAAAACCTTTCTTCTGCTTTTCTGGACATCATCTGATGTCCTCTTGGATAGTCACGACTCACAGTGACATCATGACCTCAGGGGTTTAGAACAAAGCTCTTTCAAACATCCACATATAAAAAACTAAATAACTTTGAAAAGGGAAATTAATGTTAGAAAAAAGGCTTATAAAATAGCATTAGCATCCACCGTTTTAGGGAGGCAGCAATCTCTACTTGCATTGGCCATCAACTCTGAATTAAACTCCATTTCTCCTACCTGAGGCTGTTGAAGGAGTTTTCTGTAACATGTCGGATAACAAAATGTTCCTAACCTTTCCACAAAACCTCCCCTTAAAATATCTACTTATTTAAAGGAAATTAAATTAACGCTTCAAAGACAGATTAGCCTTCTTTTGGATTTGCAATTTCTTGTAGCAAATTTGAGGCAGTTGGCTCAAAAGTGTGAAACCATAATTTAACACATGAATGTGTAAAATGGTGTGAATATGGAGTGTAAGTCTGTGTGTGTTTCAACAGACCTGCATGTTAATTAACACTCATAGAAAACTGCTGATATCAGCTGTGGCATGGTGATGGAGATCTCGGCATAGGCATCTGTGTGTGTATGTGTGTTTGCACGTATGGTGGAAGCTCACGCCCAAGCATGAGTTTCTCTGCCAATCGCATCGCTCGGTGGCATGGTGGAATGAGCAGCTGCTCTGGTCTAAACTCTCTCCCCCCTGCCCTCGCCTCAGGCCCGATGGCGGCCACCCCGTGACCCCAGATGTCCATCTTTTACCTCAGAATCCCGACACGCCAGGATCCCCGACCCCTTCCTCATCTGCTTTCATTGACTGGGAACTCCAAGAGGCATTCCAAGAATGCGAAGAGCAAATGGCATCCCTGCTCACTCCTGCACAGCTCATCAGCGATGAGGAGGTGTGCGATGAGTCTTGTGAGTCAACTCCAAATGTAGTCCATCCAGGACCTAGCAACCGGGACCATGGAAACAGGAGAAGACGTGGAAACGGTGAGGCTGCAAACAGCCAGATGGGAACGGTCGTGTTTAGCTTTCGGGATTACATTCTGGGAAAGGAGAATAACGTCGGGACAGCAGAAACAGGAAGTGGATTCGAAGCTACAGTGAGTCTGGATGAATGTTCAGAAATAAGGCCAGCAATAGATGGACAGAAGGAAACACCTAAACCGTTAGAGGAGAAAAATGCTAAATTTTCAGATCTCAGTGACCAGAAAGAAAGTCTAAATCATACTGAGGGATGTGTCATTGTAGGCGTGGGCGATGAAGAGTTAAACACATGTGCAGCGACAGAAACTCTGATCAAAAAGAAAGAAAATATAAGGGAAGACCACAATATCAATGCTCTGGTGGGTGAAACGGAGGCAGGTCACTTAGACACATCCAGATGTAGCTCACACTCAAACACCAAGTTATCAGAGCGGCAGTCAGGATCAGGGATGGACAAACACAACCAGGACAATCAGGTAGAGACACAGGTGAGCTCAACAAGCAGCAAACAAGCTGTGCAGAACATAGAAGCAAAGAAAAAGAAACATCGGAGAAAGAAAAAGACGGAGAAACAGAAAGCAGCGGTACCGTCTGAAAGCAAACTTGAAGCTGTGTCACCCAAAAAAAGTAGCAATGCTGCATCACTGCCAGAGGTAGCTGCTGGGAATGTGATTTGTGGAGAGCACACGGACAACCGGGATGATTATGAGCTGAATCCAGAGGGAATTCTGCTCTCCTCTCATAGCAGGCGGGATCGTCTTACTTCCTGTTCACCTGTTTCCAACCAGGATTGTTCACAGAGATCCAATCAGCCAGATAACCACAACCACATGGATGCTCAGACTAGTATGATTCACAGCCTCCATGAAAGCTCACAGCGTGTAAAGGAAGGGCAGAAGCAGGAGGCTGCAGCAGAAACACCCTCACGGGAAAACCAGAGCGTAGTCCCGAACAGCAGATCCTGTCTGGGAGAGAGTAGCACAGAGAGCGGCCTTGAAAAAGCTTTAATAGTAGTTAATGCGTTGCCACTGACAACACCCACACTGCCAGAAGTGATGGAAAGCGAGGGAGAGGGAGAAAGCACGAGGCGTGATTTAGAGACGAGAGCGGCTACAGTAGCATTCGTGGAGAGTAAGACAGCAGTGGGAGGCAAAAGCCTGGGGGGACAAGAAAGGTGTCTTGCTCCTGCAGATGAGGGAGACAAACTCCTGGACGACCCCCCTCAGCTCTTGTTAACCTGCTCACGGGGAAGCTGCACAGTTTCATCATCAGCCAAAGAGGGACAGATTGCTTCTGGGAAAGGGTGCAGCAGCAAAATGCCACACAACTTGGCTGAGACTGAAACTAAGGGACGGCGGGAGACGAGCATTCGCAGTCCAGACACAGAGATCTCTCTCTCAGAGGAGGGGGACGCAGAAAGGGAGCGGCTGCGATCAGAAGCGTCTCCCTTTTGGCTGCTCACGGCTTCCGACAGTCGGGACTGGAGTGCTGCAGGACCGGACAGACCAGGAGAGGAGAGAGATGTGAGAGAGGAGGTGGGAGAAGGAGGAGGAATAGCTAGGGAGTGCATTTCCTCCAGTCAGCCAGAAGTCTCTGCTGGTGTGGTGTCATCCGCTGAGACAGAGACGAGTCCGCCTGGTGATGCTGCCGAGTCACAGCTGAAGTCACAGAGCAGGAGCAAGCGGATTGCTGCGACCACTCAACAGGACCACCTCCCTTTCCTCTGCCAGCAACAGCATGACTTAACAGTTTTACCTCTCCTCGCTAAAACCGGCATGAGCTCCAGCAGTTCACACGGAGGGATAGAGCCGGATCTCACACAGTCTTCAGAGGACGTGTCTTATTTGGGTCAGCAGAGCGAGAACTCACCCCGCACAGAAGAAACCTGCAAACAAGTCTTCCAGTCTTTATGCACTTCGCATGGAAGGATGCAACAAACCAGCAGCAATCAACAGGTTCAACCCAGTAGCCCAACTGAATCAAAGACAAGTGAAGCTGATTTCCAGGTCAAAGGTCATGCCCAGAGCGACTGTGGTGACCCCGCTGTGTCTGGAGTGGATGTCCGGCTTAGAAACAGCAGCAAAGGTAACAACAAAGTTCACTTTGCAGATGATTTGGAGCAGAAATGCAGCTTCTCTTCAGACTTTAGGACCACGTCTGACCCGTTTTCAGATTGTGCCTCTTTGCCTCCACTGACTGTCCACGAGACACTGCACCATCCTGTCACGGAGGCCAGCTACACCTTCGTTAACTCTCCTAGCTTGGTGGAGCCAGGGATCCGAGCAGCGACCAAGAATGAAGCAGACAGTCCAGAGCCTCAGAAGAATATTAAGTTGGGTCAAGAAGGTAACAGTGATTTGAAGACAGACAGCTTCATGGATCCCACAGCGAGCTTGAGACAAAGCCTGGAGCTTGAGACAACGCCTGGAGGTGTCCAGCTGGTGATCAGTGCAAAGAGAGGATGTGAAGTTTGTTCTTCTGAGACAGATGAGTCTAAGGGCTTAGGTGAGAGCGACCTGACTCGTGTTACCGTGACTCTTCAGGAAAATGGAGAGAGCCAGCATCTCCCACCTGTGCTTCCAGCTGAGGATGTTACCTGCACAACTGTTTCACTTGTTGAGCAGAATAGTTTCGGTCTTCATCGCAAGTCAGAATCTGACCCCAGTTCTGAGCCGTCCAGTCGTTTGGTGGGAACCTCTCAAAATGGCCACGCTAACGTGGATCTCGTGGCAGCACCTGAACCCGAAGCAGTTCTGGTGCTGTCTCCCGGTCCAATGTTGAGTCACTTAGATTTGATTAGTGACTGCGATGTCTCTCATCCAGAGCATGCAGATAACCGCGGTGCTGATGGAGTCTTCTGCACCGGTGTCTCCAGAGAGGCGGACAGCAATGAGAGCGGCGAAGCGCTGCTAATGCCTCTAGCACAGGATTTGCAGCACAGTAAAGTCAGAGCCGTGGCAGATGAGACGTGTGCAGAACCGATCGATGGAGAGGATGCTTTAAATTCTGCTATCGATGATGCAAACATTTCTGTTTCACAAACAGAAAATCTGCCTCAGTCAGCCAAGTCTGTTGCACTATTTGAAGGATCATCTCAGCGTCCCACTGAGTGTGACTCTACTGACCCTAAAGCTGTTATTTGTGAAATATCTGTGAGAAATGATCCAAATTTCAGCTCAGATCTGCCTGCTACTGAGGCAAACAGAAGGAAACATCAGACCGTCACGCTTTCTGAGGAGAAGAAGAACCTAAACACAGGAATAATAATGCACAATCAACAGGAAACAATGGACAACAGAGAGCAGCAGGCCGACTCAGCTCCACAGTGGCACAATGAGGATGTCCAGAAAGCTGCAGGCTTAAAGACACTAAAGGACTTCACAATAAAAGGAGAAGAAAACAAGAAATTCACACTGAAATCTGAAGCAGCGTCTACATTCTCTGGGAAATACGAGGACATGCTTCCATCTGAGTCAGAGCCTCACAGTGAAAGTCAAACTGTTTATGTTCAGAGTTCGGGCCAAACTGTCTCAGCAGTACTGGAATGCAGCTCCAACATGAACGCCGTGTCTGATCCGAGGCCGGCTCTTGTCCAAACGCAGTCCTCACCACATCTAAACAGTCCTTCTCGGCAGAGTCTGGGATCCAGACACTCTGCAGAGGAACTGTCAGGTGGCTTCGCAGAAGAGGAAGCAAAGACGTACAGTCAGGCACAAACAGCAGCTCCAGGCGAGGAGCTGGGAGCAGAGCGAGGATGCAGCTCTGTTAGGAGTTTGTGTCAGTCAGGGAGACAGGATGACTCGTCAAATGATCACAAAAGTAAGGAAACACAAGCTTTACCAGAAGATGTGCTGTCTGACTTTTGCAGCGATTTAAACAGAGACGGAGATGTGGCGGGTGAGAGAAGAGCGACAGACATCACTATGATCTCTGGATTACAACAAAACGACCACAAAGCTACTGATTTATCAGCTGCTAGTCATAGAAGACCTGAAAACAGTTCCATTTCTGTTGAGTTTGCCCCACTCTCACCTTTACAAAACCAAGTATCATCACATGTTAGCTCAGACGGTCGAGCAGACATTCCTCCAAGCGAAAAACAAGAAATTCTCACACCAGATTCTAGTGAGCAGCCAGAAACGGGAGTAAAGGATTTAAGTATTGCTTCAACCGTGAATAGTGCGGGTGTTGGAAATGGGGAGTGTGAAATTAGGGCTGTAGAGCTACAAAGCTGCAGTAAAACCTCTGACACACAAAGAATCCCAGTGGAGCAAACCGCCTTAAAAGCCTCTAAAAATGAGGAAATTACAAAAGATGGTGAAAAAGTTGGCAGTGATGGAGAGAACACAAGAGAGGAAAAGGTTCCCGACAATGATGAAGAGACTGAGGAGCAGGTTTTAAAGCCAAAGGTTAAAGACGGTAAATTAGAATCGGCTTCAGGAACAGTTTGTTCCTCAGAGGGCGGTGTTGGCCTTTCAGCTGACAACCACGATGATGAATCTCACAAAGGGACTCCTGAAGTCATCCTTGTCCCATCTCACGTTCTGTCAAAACCCCTGGAAGGTTTTCCATCCACCACCCCTGTAGCTTCTAACGGGTCTGAGCCCCCCTGTGATCTGGGGCGTTTGTCAGAGCACCAGGATGGTTTCATGGGAAGTTCCTCCATCGCTGCTCCTCAGTGTGACAGAAAATCCCCTGAAAAGACTACTGCCTGCAGCTCTGTGTCTGAGGAGGTAGAAGATGCTGATGTGTCAGAGAGTTCTTCTCCGGAGGGAGAAACCCACAGACCAGATACCAACTGGATACAAGCCCTGAAAGAAGCAGCATCCCTCTCGCAGAGTGAACCAGAGGATGTCTTGAGGTAAACACAAGATCATGTGCACACTGTAGTCTAAATACCGTAATGGGGACATATTGTCATTTTTTCCTTAATTTATAACAGTTCTGTGTCATGAAAACATGATTATGAAGTTCTTTACACTAAATCCCTCTCACATAGAGCAAGTGAAGCTGTTTTATTCTCAATGTTTTTAGTACCTTCCACAATGAGTAGTTTTAGGGCTCTGTCACTTTAGGAAAACAAGCTGGAACTGGCCACGCCCACCTATCTTCCACTCAGCTGCTATGAGCTGAGAAGCTCCGATATCGATGAGGAGCTCGGAGTTGAGCAGCTTCTGTTCCATCCGCAGCTTTTGCACGTGAGAGGTGTTTTTTCTTCAATATCTCCATTTGTGACATCACAGACGGGGATTTTTAGAAACGGCTTGCTTTAGGCACATAATAAAGAAAAATCAAACACTGACAGAAAATGGATACATGTTTTTTTCACATTTTGACTATTTATAGAGGCAGTAGAGACTCACACGACAGCAACAGGATGCAAAATGGGCCTTTTGCATAATAGGTCCCCTTTAAAACGTCATTTCTATCATTGAAAGAACACTAGCACTTCACCAACCCCATTTCATACCAGATTTTTAATTGAAGTTGTGTGAAGAAAGGATGGCGGTTTTATCAATTTAAATGCTAAATATTTCAAAAATGTCACAAGCTGCTACTACATACAATTTATCCCTCAGTTTCTGAAAACAGACTATGTTTTATCCATTTTTGTTTTGATTATGTTCACAACTGTCTTGAGTCAGATTGACTCCAATTGTTAATGTATGTGTAATGACTACTTTGTAAGAGTTTTTTTTTTAATTCTAGATATTTTTCACAACAACCTAACAAAGCCGACTCTGATGCTAAATGGTGAAAAAAAAAAAACAATAAAAGGATCAGTTATCCCTCTGAGGATATGATGGGGGATGACTCTTAAGTACTGTGGTACCAAATGTTTACTCAGCATCTGTAAAACCATCTGGATAATAGATATTTTTACATTTGTGAGTCACCCCAGGTGATTAAAATCATATTAGAAGAGAACATTTATAAAGTGAATAAAGGTGTAGATCACTGAAAACCCATTTTTAATGATTATTTCTGATCATAATCAGTCACTCTGAGATTTTCATGCAGGCTGAACATGAAAATAGTCTCCTACACCTATCTCCTGCGTTAGCTTCTGGTAGAAAATAGACTTGAAACTCTGGGATTGGAAAAGCTTGACAGATCTACGTCACACTGTCACACAACATTCATGGACTCACCCATCTCCACTCACAACAGGGAAGGCTGTTGTTGGTTTAGCATCCAGAAATCAGCAGAGAACGTTCTGCATACTACTGTATGCTAACCATTAGCATTAGCAACTTCACCACACAGCAGAAGCACCTCCGTGCTTGTGTTACTTGTGGAGATAAAACATTCATGTTACAAGTCAGTGACATGGTTGTGTTGCTGTTATCCAATCCAAGGCGAAATGTCTGAATATTTTAACCTTTATTTAACCAGATGAGTCGACTGAGAACTCATTCTCATTTACAACGACGATCTGGCCAAGAGGCAGCAGCAACAGACACGGACAATATCAGGAAATAAGACTCCAAACCTGTCGTCTTTGGCTCGGCAGTGATGTGACTCACTGCTAGTTCCTGGAAAGGGTGCACCGGTATATTTCCCCCCTCGTCCATTCCTTCTGAGAACCCTGTACATGCACTGATTAAACGAGTGAACCACACCTTGTGTTTCCTGAAAGTCAGAATGAAGGAATTCTCCTTTTTAACCGTTTTTTAAAGAGCACAGCAGAAACTCCGTGCTCGGGCGTTGTTTGGACAATTAATACAAATGAGGTAAACACAGAGCCTCACTTTGTGTTGAACAGAGCTCAGTCATGTGACTGTGCCCACTAAACTCTAATGGAAGCAATGCCGACCATTATCTCCACAGGGTGACATCAGCTGTGACATCGTCCCTGGTCTCCAGTGTGAGAATCAGCCTCTTCTCACACAAAACACACTTCTCAACACACACTTATATCATTTTCTGTTACCCAAACAACAAATACTCCAACTCTTTCTTGTGTTATCTTTTTTTCCAGACCCCTGCCATCTCTGGAGCCCCCTCAGCTAGAGTTTCTGACTCCCACTGAGGACATAGCAGCTCCACTGATTCTTCCATCAGAGCAGGGGGCAGAAAATGCAACATCTCCATCACCCGTAAAGAGGCCGGTAGACCTCCCAGAACCTCTAGAAAGGATAGCAGATCCTCCAAAACCATCACAGCTTGCAGCAGAACTTCCCAAACCCATGCAGAGCCCAAGGGCACAACTCTCAGAAGAAACAGAACAAAAAGCCAAAGCAGAACCATTTCCAGACCAGTTTCCAGAATCTGACGAGAAACTTTTAGAGGAAAAGGAAGAGCAGGTCGAGGCCTTGAAACCAACCAAAGTAGTAGAAAGGATCCCAGAATCGGGAAGTGCTGAAGATCTGCTGCCAGAGAGGTCAACATGTGCTGAACAAGAAGAGGAGAAGCTGCGAGAGGAGCAGGGAGAGAAACCAGCAGACGGCCCACCTGTGGAAATCTTAACTGAGACATCAGAAGTGACAGGAGATCCTTCTACAGGGCTTCAGCACTGTGGGTGAGTGAAAAAAACAACAGCTTGTTTTGAAATCTCCTTTTAGACACCATCCCTGGTTTAGTGGTGTGGTAGAGACATGACATGTGAAACCTTTGAGGGTTGTGTGTTTTAAACTTCTGTAGATCCCAAACTCTGGATCTCCTGAGCTGGTGGCTTATCAGAGTCAGATCAGACACACGTGCAGCTATTTCTCTGCTGATTTGCTGTGATTTTAAAATACTTAACCCAGAGTTTATGATTTCTATTGACTGTTTCATTTGTCTCTGCTGCAGCAGCAGCATGTCGAGAGCCGTCCGCATGCCTGAGCAGCATTTGCTGCCCGTCTGTCTCAACACTTGTCCCATCACAGCTCTGCTGGGACACAACAGGGTGGAAGAATGGAGCCACTAAATCAGCTTATGTTTCATTAATAGATAAAGTTACACACGTTTCAGAGATAGAAATGTGTGTGTGTGTGTGTGTGTACCTGTGCGTACATATGCTTTTTTTTTTTGCCCTCCGCCCCCACGTGCTGCCGTAGCTGTCGGTTCTGCTCAGTCTGTGTGGCTTTGTGAACTGAAGCTTGTACTGGGAGGAATTCAGGCACGCTCTCAGTTCCACTGAAGTCATTTGCACCGAGCAGAGAGAGTGGAACAAAAGCCAGGGTTCAGAGAAGCACTTGAGCATGTGCCGGGGTGTGAGTGTGTATCAGAGTCACACACCGATCGGAGAGGAACCGTGGAGCTCTGCTGCTTTTGGATTGTAGTAGAAAGTTTACTGGAGTTCTGTCTGAAGCAGCATGACGGATCTGTCTGAGGCATAAATCTGGGTGAGTTGATGGGAAGTAGCATCTATTTTTTAAGTGTGTGTGTTTACAGTAAGTGTTGGTAGTTAAGTCCTTCCAGGTGGACTCAGCAGATGGTCTGTAGGCACCTAGAGCTCATTACTCTGCCTGTTGACCACACCAGATGGGCAGCGGGGAGGGACAGATACAAATATGAAGTGATGGAATGTTTCAACGGAACAAAGTTGTGCAAATGCCAGTGTGCCTCCTTCCGTTTGAAGGAAAGTTGCATGTTAGAGCACGTTCGCTTCCTTCTTGCAGCTCTGATGGTGGACCAGACGTTTCTTCTTAGTAAAACCTTTGAAAACTGTTTTTGAGCCTTGCTGGAAACTTAAAGGGCCACAGACAATTTTCATAAACATGATTGGGATGAAGACATCACAACCGTAACATTTCTCTCCAGCGTTGGCTGCTGCTCTTCGGCTTGGTGGGTCACAGTTAGAGCTGTAAATAGAACCGTTGTCATGGTGATTTCACTTATCTTTGCCTGCAAAAGTGGATAAAACTACGTCTGTCGTGATCATGTTTGTTTTGTTTATGTGTTCGTATGCATTTTCATTCGTAAGCGTAATGTGTGTGTGAGGACTGTGCTAGCTAAGCTGCTCCACTTATTGTTTCAGTATTTATTTCACTGGTTTACAGTTTTTCTCTTGATATAAAACACCTGGACCTTTGAATCCAGATGTTTCCTGTAAATTACATAAAAAAAATAGACATGTGGCTAAAATACAGTTCAAGCAAGGTCAGATTTGTTGATTCACCAGGGGATCCAGAATGGTGTAGTTAAGTAGTCCCTTATGTCTGTGTGTTCAGGTTTTCATTATTGATGCAAAGATGAATCACATCAAGGACTGTGCTGGACAGCCTCCGGGCGATAATGTTGACTTTAAGGCGGAGTTGAAGTGAATCAGCGTGATGTCAGGCGGTAAAAGGGCACATGCGTTCAGTCTGATTTTTTGTATCGATCAGAGCACGTCTGTAACGTCATGCAGTCGTATCTGCGGCCGACGCTTGGCTGCAAATCTTCAGTTGTTACTCTCAACGGATCAGCTCCACATTAAAGAGGACTCAATCAGTGAATACTCTCCTTTTTCATTGATAATCAGATCCAGTTTCCTAGAAAATACAAAAATGGGACAACAGCTAACCAGGCTAACCAAAGCTAACGGAGGTTGCCAGCCACTTTTACCCAGGGTTGAGCATCTCTGCTACTCTCTGCCTTCTAGGCTGACACATTTAACATGAAGCCGAGGCCGAGGCCTTCCCCGGAGCAAGAAGGATGGTCAGCTGCTAGTGCTAGCGCCAACGGCACATCCTCTACCCGTCAATCAAAGCTTTAATTACATCTAAATGGATGAGTTACAAAAAGTTCCCCCATGACAGTAAGGACGACCTATTAAACCTAAGATGTTTTTTAACCAGGCTGTAAACATGTGAAGTTGACATTTTTAACATGGGAGTCAATGGGAACTTGCTCCTTTCTTGAGCCAGCCCCTAGTGGATGAGGGGGTAACTGCAGTTTATGTCACTTCCACATTGGCTTGACTTTTGGAGGACAGAGATTCTGCCTTGGTTTCAGTGCATTGAAGGTGGGTGAGTCCATCTTCTACGCAGGAGACTATTTTCACCTTCATGTAAAACTCAGAGTGATGATCACTTAAAAAATTAATAAGTAAAAAACAGTTTCCCAGTGAAGGACCTCTTTGACATAATTGCTGCTATAAGGATAATGAACTAATTTCTATGTTCTTCTGTCCTTTTGTTAGAAGGCGTGCTGTAACATATTATTTGCTCATCTGAGGTTGTATTACCTAGTTTTAGGAGCTTGTAGGAACCAGATATTTTTATCATGCTTGTACTGAAGCAAGTTCCTGCTTTTCCTGATTGAATGCCAGGAGCAACACCAGTTGAGACGTAAACTGTAATTTGCTACGCCCTGCAGGAGCACATGACTTCAATAAGTGCAGTTTTGATTCAACTACACAGAAATGGAAGATCAGTTTTGCAGAGTCCAATCAGCAGACGACTTCACCAGTAGACATGTTGTAGAGGTATGCAGAGGAGGCTGCTGGGATATTTATAGCTCCAAACAGGAGGCCTTCCCCATGTGGTGGAACAGCTGCACGGGCGTCTACTGCTGTCAGATTAGAGCGGCGTGGATCAGGGATAAATCCCCGTCCACCAGGTGGCTGATGATGACAGAGCTGGACTCTGTCTTCTCTGTAAGGATGGATCACGCCAGGCCATTGATGAGATGTCAGTTTTGTGTATTTTTAATGACGGGGTGGTTCTAGGATGGTCGGAGCCAGCATTTTATTTTTCAAGTTGCTTCTTGCTCGGGACGATACCGAGCAGAAGGTTGTGTTTGTCTCTGCTTTGAGGTAGGATTCATGTGAGCAGGAACATGACGGAGAACTCAGTGTTTTCTGTTCCATCCTCTCCACTGCAGGTCATCACTCACTGGCCAAACAAATACAGGTCACTCTGCTCCTGTTCCTCCTTCTAACGAGCACTTCCTACATGCCAGTCCTCCTCACCTCCACCCCGCCCCAGAGAGTCACACACCTGAGGCCCTACTCACTTCTCCCTGCCTGCTTCCTCCAGCCCCTGCTGCTCCTTTCCACCTTTGTGAGAACCCTTTCAGGTACGAATGCCAACAGCTCTTCATTTCATTACCTCTCCCCGTTTATTGCATTGTCAAAACAATGGGACGTGTCCACATTACAATGAGCTTGTCCTCCGCTAACACCAATTCTCTTTATCCAGCTTCATGAAAATTAGCCAAATCCTCGTCTTCTAAGCCCCGTGGCTCAGATGAAAGGACAGCATTAAACTGACGCGTGGAACACTTACTGACTTTGTGAGTCAAAGGCCTCCTTAAGAGGAAAGCCTTGTCCACAAATCTTCTAATTCAGACTTTTGAGTTGGACTGTTTTAGGTCTCCAACAATATTCCCATCCAATCCTTAATAAAAACAATAAATATGCTCTTTTTTAACTTTATTGAAACAATTTTTTTAAAGAAATCTGAGACAAATTCTGTCTGCAGGTGCACTCCAACTTATTACCTCATTCAGTAAATGACAGCACAGGCTTGCTATGTTCACTTACCACAAAATCTCTGAGGAAACGGGACTTAATAAAATGAACATAGTGGTATGGATGCTCCATATATGCCACATAATAAGGGTCTGTTGAAACTCTATAGCATATACAGGTTATTCACACTCGTACACAACATTATTCACGTATTTTTTGCCTAATTTGTTCCTTTTTAAAGACTTGTAAGAAAATTTAAGATGCCTGTGTATCATCAGTATCATAATTTAACACCATCAAGTCACACTGATTCATATTAACTACAAATGAATGTGTGAAAGATCACAACTGTTTAAAAGTGAGATTTCTCTGCAGATCCTTTTTTGTTTTGTTGTTTGTTAAAGTTTGTAAAAACAGGGTAATGACTCAGCCTCTTCTGGCATGATGCTGCAGTTTTATTTTCAACCACCAGAGGGGCTTTGTGTCACATTGTGCTTCTATATTTATTGTGCTCATGTTTGTTTATCCTATATTGTTTTGGGATATTACTGAACAAAGCCGGTCTCGTGTTTCCCACAATGCACCTGTGTCAAAATAAAAACAATAAGGGCTAAAATCTTTAAGATTTTTTTAAAAACAATTTTGAATCATTTTTTAAAATTTATTTTTATTTTTATTTGAATGAGCATCCTGCACGCAGATGATACTACTGCACCAGGATAGCATTTTAATGTATTTGGTGAGAAATGGAGAATATTCTGCACAACCTGCTTAAAGAGCAAGTCACCCTCTACCAGATTCTTACTCAACTCCCACTTCCTGTTTGAAAAATGCAACAGATGGTGTTGCCTAACAGATCAAGAGGGCGGAGCCGCCAACGAACACACACACACACACACACACACACACACACACACACACACACACACACACACACACACACACACACACACACACACACACACACACACACACAGGCTCACAACGACATTGTGACATCATATGGTACCAGCTAACGTCCTAGGGTATCTCTTACCCAATAGCGACGGCAGATTTAAATTCAAATGCAGTGAAGAGTTTTTACGTGACAACGGCACAACACTGACAGTTTTAGGCAGAAAATAGAAATTTTAACTAAAATCCACTAAAGTGCTAAACTATTGACTACATGTGTCTGCAGCTCATTTAGACACGCATTTATATAGTTTATCAGAAAAAAAGTTGATTTGGGGTGACTTGCTCTTTAAAAGTGACTGGCCATTCTGAAAGTCAACTGTCTGCTTTATTGTTTGGTTCCTGAATGCATCACTGCCTAGCAGCTTTTTAAATATCTGATATTTTTCCAGGTTCATGAACTCATTACCACTGGTTTATTAATCTGCAGCAGAAATATTTGAATAATAGTTTTTTTTATTAACATTTCTTGATGGATTTTTCTCTGCTCAGGTGCTGAAGATTTTTAAACTTGTTTCAGTAAGACTTTTTTACGTTTAGTCGCTAAATGAAAATAAAAATGATTAAAAATAAAAATCCCTGACTAACAAAAGTCCCAACTAATTAATATTAGTAGGACAAAAGCCCGCTTACTCTCCCTTCTTTTCACGCCGGTGTTTTAATAATTTCTGTATATATCTGGGCTCCTGTTTTTTCCAAATGTTTTCATTGTTATTCTTATTTTTATTTATTGTTTTTTAATCATTTTTACATGATTATTCTGCTTGTGATTCTTATCTTGAAAGGTGCTCTATAAATAAAAAATCCTTGTAGATCAGAGGAGCAGACCAGCCATGTTTGGTAAATATGGACGCCCCCTCCCTCCCCATGCAGAGCTGAAAAGAGTGCTTCAACCATTTTTCACACACCACCAGATCTGCTCTCTAAATTTGGAGTCAGCGTCCTACTTTTGCACAACTGTGTCATAAGTGACGTTTCCTAAAAGCTACTGCGGCAGCTATTTCTGTACATAACTGTTTTTAGTTTCATCTTTAACTTGTAGCATTAAAATCATACTCTCGGTAAGTCTTTCGATATTCAACTGCAGCATCAGGTTTCTTTTTATTTAAAACAAATTGAGAAGAAATAAATATTTATCTTTGACTTTTCTGGCACAACCCATGCTGCTTTGTGTAGAAACCAAGCCCCCGCAATGCGGGTGAAAAACTGAAGCAAACAAGGAAGTGAAATAAATTGCAGTTCCACCCTCATCCGCTGGGGGCTGGTGTCAGAAGCGAGCAAATCCTCATTGATTCCCATGTTAAAAACACCAATTTCACAGCAGAAATAAACATGTTTACAGCCTGGTACCAGAACATGTTTTTGGTTTAAATGATCTAGTTTACACTCATGACAACTCTGAGGGGGATGAATTTTTTTTCTCACTCTTCTGTTTAAGTGTATTAAAAGCCTAAAATTCTGTATAATTAATGAGCATCCAACCCACGTGACCACAGAGCTAGCTCCGTGGAAAGGCCTCAGTCTGAGCCTCGGCCTCGCCTGAAAACAGTTCGGTCATTTTCAGTCTCTCAACTTAGACCATTTGTTGTAGCGTTTGTGTATTCTTTTTTGGATATTATTTGTGCAATTGTTGGACAAAATGACTTGCTGTGGCATTAATTGCACTAATAGAGCGTCCAAGGAGTCTCAACTCCATTTTCTTCGGTAAGTAAAATTATATTTATGTATTTTAGGTCACTGCCGAGCTGAGCTTAGATTTTAACATGTACTGTTTAACCATGAAATTTAAATGTAACAGGGTAAAACCCAGTGCATTTAACATAATGCTGCACTTTAGAAAATGGGTTGAAATATAACATGTTGGTGGAGCTGGGTTCTGACTATCGGCTTGTGGAGCTCTCGGGAGACCGATGTTTTCCATCCGGTTCTCCCCTCCCCGCAGCTCGGCGCATCTCTGTCTGATCGCGGCTTCTGTCTGCTGTGCGGGCTGCCGGCTTGTGGAGCTCTGGGATGGAAACCTTTCCACCCGGTTCTCCCCAGCGGCAGCTCTGCGCATCTCAAATCGCAGCAGCGCTTGTCTGCTGTGCCACTGCCGGCTTGTGGAGGTCTCAGGAGACCTCTGTGTTCCACCCGGTTTTACCCAGCGGTCAGCCCGGCGTATCTCTGACTCAGAAGCTCTGGTGTTGTGCACAGTTAACTCCGGTTGTAGCTAGGTTGCTACCTCCGTTAGCTTAGGTCCCACCTCCGTGTTAGCTTTGGGTTAGCTTCAGGTTAGCTTGTAGCTAGTTCGACCGGGTGTTGTCAGTTAATCCCAGCCTTACAGCCACACCCTCAGCTCCTCTTCTCTTCCCTTTTGTGGAATTGTCTGGGCTTGACGGAACCTGTGACACGGTCAAACTAGCGGTGGTGGCCACCTCCCATTTTTCTTCAAAAACGTGTTATTGGAGCCTATGGAAACCCATTGTCCAATATTTATATGTCGATGGTAGAAACACAGCAGGTGTTAAAAATAGTGTTTCTGTAGTAATTAAACAAGTTCCAGTTCCCTTGAAGCTTCTAACTGTTCTGCATCGCAACATTTTGCAAACCTCTTAAGCGTGGCCACACACGGACTTAAAGTGCAGTTATGAATCTTTCACAAAAACTGTCTCTCTCATATTTTCCACTCTGTGAGTTTGTTGAATTTTTTATTTCTTCCTTTCCTGTAGCTGGAGCTGAGGTGCATCACCTCAATGTTAAAGCAGCAACAGGAAGATGTAATTAAATCTGACTGAACAAAGACTGTAAATGCTTCTGGTGTCCTACATATGAGCCCATATGGGGGGTTGGTGGTCCAACTGGCTGCAGCAATCAATATTTAGTCTTGCACATGGTCTGTGGGTTTTATTTGTAAATGGGGCTGCAGCTTTTCTGGTTCATCATCAGATATGCTGAGTTCAAACATAAACACCTGGTTTTGTGTTCCAGAGAAACTGGAGCTTCTTCCTTTCAGTTCGTACTTTTTTTGTCCTCAACAGCAGAAGACCGACTTCTGAAACCACATCTCAGGGACTTTGTATGCCTGCAGGCTTGAGCCATTGTGGAGAGTCCTCATTTCCACACTTTCCCATGAGTGGACAATAGATTTGTTCATCTCATATTACCCCCCCCCCCCCCCCCCCTTTCCAGTCCTCTTTAAATCAATGGGAAACGTGTTGAAACGAATCCTGGTCCCATTTGTGCCCCACAGGATGCCTTTTCCACATCTGTCACACACAGATGACCGAGGACGGTGGGCACTCTTGGTCCTTTGATGCAGCCTAAGGTTTTGTGAGAGTGATTGTAAATTGGAGTATGAAGTAAACCTGCAGATTTTTGATTTTCTACATAAAAAGAATAAATAAAAGACGATCCAGTAAACAATGTTTTAATAACAAGTTTAATAGCGTCATTAAAAAATGCAACAGTTCTTGTTATTAGGAGCAAAAACACAAAATAAGAGTGTTATATGCGAGCTAGAAATGCACACAGCAGTTACCTAGAGTCTATTGTTTACCTCAGACTGCTTTCTGGTTGGCTGAGCTGAGTGTTGGAAGGTTCCATTGTGCAGAAAGAAGGGAAAACATAGATTTTCTATATGCATGACATAGAATAAAAGGTGGGATTATGGGAA